TTAATTAACATACCTAATGAACATCTCAAAGGCTTGCAATTAATGAAGACCCTAAATATTTTAAAATGATATATATTGAACATCTCATGATCAAAACATGAGAAGAACTTAAATGTGACTAAAACTAATTTATACCAAAGTACAATATTAGAAATATAAAATATTTAAAATGAAATATATTAAATTAGAATTTAGTTTTAAATTAATATCTTTTATTTAAATAATTTTATATACATAATTCCTTTTACTTAACATACAAATTGAACATTTCAAAAGCGTAAGCTACCTTTTTCAATCATAAAAAAAAATTCCTTTTCTACTAAGTTGGTCGCTTATAGTAAAATGTTTCATTTTTCCTATTTGATATTGTAAATTTTTAAGCAAACGGCATATTTTATATTTAGTACAGATAATTATGCAAATAAAGTAAAATATTTTAAAGGCTAAATATCAACAAAAAATCATGTTAATGTTGGATGATAATCAGATAATCCCACATAACTTTAAAAATATCATAAAATCCACTAAATTTTACTGGTTATCAGAAAACCCCTTTAACTTTGAGATTTTGTCAGGAAACCACTCTAAAAGCGATAATTTTAGAGGAATTTTCTTATAAAGTCTCAAACTTGAGGAAGTTTTATGATAAGATCTAAAAGTTAAAGGGGGTTTCTTATAATCACTAATTATGGAATTTTATAATATTATATCTATAAAATAATGGATTAATTTTAAAAAAAACCACTCGACTATTTTTATATGAGAAACCTCCTCAAGTTTAAGCATATTGTAGATGATACTCCCTTCAACTATGAAACATTGAGATAATCACTTAAACTTTCCTCACTTGACCCCCTCAAATATAGAGATTCTCTACGAAAACCCTGTAAACTATTTTCAATTTGAGAAACACCCTTCAGGTTTGAGCTTAATATAGATACCCCCCCCTCAAGTTTAAAAATTTAAGAAATCACCATAAACTCTTCTCACTCTACGGCCTGAAAGCTAACATTATTACCCGAATAACCCTATCACTTTACATTTTATCACTTAACTTGATTTTTTTTGGAAAAAAACCCAACATCGGATGTTAACAAATTTAATATTTTTTCAGAGGTTTTTCATAATTATAGGAATTTTCAAGAGGTTGATTATAATTTTTAGATTTTAGGAGTTTTTCTTCTAATTATAGTTTTTTGGGGGGTTGTTTGTACTTTTTATATATTTGGGCTTTTTAGTAATTTTCTTGAAGGTTCTTTTCAATTTTCTAATTTAAAGGGTTTGTTTATGATTTTTTAGGTTTTTAGGGGGCTGTTTACAATTTAAAATCTTTTAGGATGCTATTTGTCATATTAACTTTTTATTGGATCTTTTTTTTAATTTTCATATTTTCATGTGTTTTTTTTGAATTTTTGAATTTTTAGGGGTTTGTTATTTTATTTTCAAAATTTAAAGGAGGTTATTTGTACTTTGTAGATTTTGCATATGTTGTTTATAACTTATGAATTTTATAGGGATCATTTATAATTTTAGAATGACAATAACCTTTTTCACATATTAGATTTTTTAAGGTTTTTTTTGCAATTTTATGAAATCCTCAAAATTAACATAAAGGTAAATCTCATTAAACCCCCAATAATTTTACTATTTGGAACTAAATCTCAAATATCTTTAAACTCTCACTAAGCAACCAATAATTTTTGACAGAAAATCCTCAAAATTAACATCATTAATTCATGTGTAGTCAAATGACCAAAGTACACCAGTAACCGAATGAGTTTTACACTTTTTTCACTTAACCCCAGTATTTTTTAGCAAAAAACCGAAAATAACAGTTGTTTATAATTGACACATCTTTTCAGAGGTTTGTTTATATTTATTGGAATTTTCAAGAGGTTGATTGTAATTTTTAGATTTTAGAGGAGTTTGTGTCTAATGTTTGATATTTTAGAGGGTCGTTTATACTTTTTATACTTTTTATTTTTTTGTAATCTTTTCAGGTTTTCTTTGTAGTTTTCTAACTTAAAGGGTCAATTTATTATTCTTAAGATGTTTTGGGGTTTGTTTGCAATTTATTAAATTTTTAGGATGCCATTTGTGACATTTTACTTTTTATGGGATTTTTTTGTAATTTTCATATTTTTCATATGTTTGCTTGAAATTTTGAGGGTTGTTTATAATTTTTAATTTTTAACAGGGTTTGTTTGCATTTTTTGGATTTTTAAAAAATTCTGTGTAATTTATGAATTTTTGTGTGTCATTCATAATTTTAGAACTTTAAGAGTATATTTTTCAATTTTAAGATTTTCAAGGGTTTTTCACAATTTCAAAATTTTAGGGGCCTATATGTTTTTTATAACTTTCAAAATTTTCTAAGTATTATTTATAATTTTAGAATGTTTAGTAGCTATTTGTCGTTTTTCATATTTTTTGGGATGTTTATCAATTTATGGATTAAATTGCAAATAAGATCGATTTGATGGGTATATACTATCTTTGAGGGTTAATTTTGGCAGATGTAAAATTTTAGGGTAACGTCATTTTGGAACTTAAGTACAGAAATTTAAAATATTTTGGGTGTTTTCTAAAATGATCTAATTTACTAAGGATTTAACGAGAATTGCAGATATTTTGGGAGTTTAATGCCCAATTTAAAGTTTTGAGAGGTTCATTGAAATTTACTTTTTAAAATAGTTAAGGAGGGACAATGACAATTTTTTGATATTTTTAATTATGTATAGCTAGAACTTGTTTAGAATTAACAAAAATTTGATTATAAGAATTTTCTACTTTTTTATAAATAGGAATTTCTAGTAATGGTTATGAATGGTTTTAATTTAATGAGAATTCTTAGGAAGATAGAATTAGTTGGACGCCAACCATCTTTTAATAGGATAGATAATTAGTTTCACTATTTGATTTCTTTTAATATCAAAGTTTGTTTAAGGATTTTACCTTTAAATTATTTGAATATATTATGATAAAAATAGAATGTAATATCTAAAAGGATTAAGGGTAAAATTGACCATAAAAAGTTTTTCTCAAAATCACTCTTTTATAAGGAGCATTATATGATATGATATGATATAAAGTATGATATGATATATATCAATTTTCTCTCTCTCTCTCTCTCTCTATATATATATATATTATATATATATATATATATATATATACAAAATTTCTTGCGCCATTGCAACCTTATCATCTCTCTTTTAGCCACTTATACAATTTTCTATCTTAAAATAACCTACTAATAATAAAGGAGTTATCTTATCTTTAGCAACAGAAAATATTAAGAGCATGTTTGGATTTGTAGGGGGTGAAGGGAAGTTAAGGGAAACTAGGTGAGAGAATGGAAGGGAAGGGAAGGGAGTTCCATTCCCCTTGGTTACACCAATTTGGGGGTAACAAATTTTATATTATTAGGGGGTGAACCAAGGGGAACTAGTGTGAATAAATTTAAGGGTGAGCATGGTTCGGTTCGGGTCGGTTTTTACCAAAATTTGAACAACCGAACCGAACCACCTACAATTCAAAACCGAATCGAACCGTTGCAAATCGGTTCGGTTCGATTTGTTCGGTTCTAATCAAGATGCATTCTAAATTCCCATTAAAGTAATAAAACAAGAAATGTCCTACTAAATAGATAAACATTTTCATGTTGTACACAACTATATGACATAGTTTCCTACATCCTGTGCAGTTTTTTAACATGTTTTCCTCTTAACCAAGAGAAAATAATGGATGAAAGCCAAGCTAATTATACAAAACTGTGACAAGGTATTGCCTACTAAAAATTTTATTTGGATAGTAGAGATAACTACCCAATAGCACCCAAAAGAATAATGCAAGAAAACCCACATTGTTTACAGTAGTTCTTAAATAATAAGATCATAGAGGGATAAAATATGCAATTTATAGTTCCACAACCTAAAATAGTAGAAATAGGAGAGCATAAACTTATAACAATAAAGAGATATACAAAAGTCAAAATGATAGCAGACCCGATTTTCTTCAAGCGTTCCAAATCATCCCTGAGCTTCATATCCAAAGCATTGGAAACAACCTAAGAGTACTTCTCATCTTTATAACCCTTCTTTCTGTTCAAAAACCAATATAGGATCTTGAACTGACGAGAATTAGCAACAATCGTCATCAGATTCTCAAGCTCAGCAGTTGAGAGCTCTCTGACCATAAAAACAATAAAAAACAAAACTTTTAAAAGTTAAAGATACAAAAACCCTAACTTCACAAGATCTCAACGATGATACCTCTTGTTCATATCAACATCCGCTTTTTTGCAGACGATGTTGGCGAATCGATGGCCGAGTAGCGAGCGCGGAAGGCGAAAATGGAGATTGGAGAGTGAGGCACTGCGGCGCCGGACAGGGAGCGAGAGAGAGGAACCGAGGAGAGGAAGTGGTGGCTGAGATTATAGGGTTTAGTCGTGAGTCATTATTTGAGGGACGGGTTGGGTTTGAGGGTAAATGGGTATTGGGTACGTTAGTTCAGTCGGTTCGGGTTGAAAAATTTTCAACCCGACCCGAACCGCTTTACAAATGAAACCGAACCGAACTGCTTATTTCGGTTCGGTTCGGTCGGTTTTTTCGGTTTGGACCGAACCATGCTCACCCCTAAATAAATTCACCTTCTAAATGTTCCCAAACAAGATGAATAGAGGTGAATAGTTCCCCTAACTTCTCTTCACCCTTATTCCCCTCAATCCAAACAAGCCCTAACTGAAATAATCTATAACAGTAAATGCACACTAAAAAAATATCCCTCAATACCGTGGTACCAGTCTACCAGGTACACTTGCACTTTCACCCTTCGTGGGACCCAAAAACATTGATCTTCTTTATTATTAACAGTTTTTAGATAGCACCGTGCACAAACTAATCACAATTATAGAAAAGCATATCTGCGGGGAAAAAAATTATACTAAATAAACAAAAAACTTTAAGCTCCACAATCCTATTTAAATAGAGCGAGGAGAGAGAAACAGGGAAGACTTCCCCAAAAGTTGCAAAGCCTTTAAATTCCCCAAATCAAAAACTTCCCACAAATTCTCAACCCCTCTCAAAAAACCCTAATATTTTTTCCCAGTTCCTGTAAAACCCTAATCTCTATCTCTCACCTTCTCGTATCTTACCATTAAAGTTAGGGTTTATCATCAATTTTCTGATCCCCGTTCCAATTCCTATCCACATCTAGGGTTTCGATAGGATTGGTCAATCCTGGCGGGTTCACGGGTCGGGTAATGGCGGATCCGCCCCGCTTCCGCTCCTTTGCTAGGCATATCGGATTCTTAGGGCTAGGGTTTGATAGAGAAGAGGAAGAGGTGGAACTTTTGGTTTTTGAAGTGTGGGAAGCATGCTGAGCGTGCTTAGGGTCCATTTGCCGTCCGAGATCCCAATCGTTGGCTGTGAGATCACGCCGTACGTTCTGTTGAAGCGGCCAGACAACTCGATTTCGAATGAGGATGTTCCTGAGTCGGCGCCCGTTGGGGGGTATTGCATGAGATATAAGTGGTGAGTGCTTGTTGAGTCCGATCTCGTTGTTTAGATTATGTAAAGATTTCATCTTGGTTCTTTTTTTCTCATCGTTATATGCTGTTAGCTAATTTAGTGTATTGTAAACGGCTTTTGTGTTGTGTTGTATGATCAGTAAGAGCTTGATTTCTGATTGATTGGGAAAAGATTTTCCTTTGCACTTGTTAGATTAAATTGAGAGGAGGAAATAAGTTCAAAAATTGCAGTAACTTATAATGCTGCTGTAGAAATGCGTTCCTGTTTTGTTTTTTGTAATTACCCTTTTCCTCGCCTATATGATTTCAAGGGCGGCATTAAGTATATGAACTTTAGTGCTTCCTATGCCATGGAAATCAGTTTAAATCTTTGTAGCCAATCTTAATATATTGCATTTACTTATAATTGAATCCTAGTCATTTACTTATAATTGTTCAGGATAGAAATTTAGAAGATTAATCTTTTAAATAGCAGGTGACATATTTAATGCTATGGCATATTGTTTGTTGACCTGTACACCATTTGTTTCTTTGGAGTTTAATCTCTATGTTTTAACATGATATCCTAATGGAAATAACCACTCAAGGTTTCAGATGTTCGAAAACAGGAGTACGAGTATATTTTCCAATGACAGTGACAATTAGATGTTAGCTGTTTTGAAACATCTTGTGAAACTTGAAGTAGAGATTGAGAAGAGGGTTTTAGGAAGAGTTTGGTTCAATATTTTAAAAGCAAAAGGTGAGGTCAAGGGGGCGAGGTCCTATGTTGCCTGAGTGAACCAAGGTGATAAATATTCAAAAAATTCATAAACACTATAAATAATATGCAAATATCGATAAATAGCAACAAGCCAAATTAATTAGTGCCAAGCTTTCAATGTCACAAATCTAATACTTTATAAACCATCTAAATGAAATAGCAAGTAAATTAACAAATACTAAATAGTAATAATAACTAGTACTGCCAACATAGATTATTAAGCAGCAAACTATGAACTTTAAGGTTCAAATTGTGGAATGTCCTCAAAATGATATAGGTAATAAACTACATTACAACAAAAAAAGGTAAAAAAATTGACAAGAAAAATAAACACAAATTCAATAATAAAAATAAACTTTACTTTATCGGATACCTGTCATAACCTCAAAATTCTGAACTAGAGACAAACACCACGCCTTGCATCGCATGCCTTAGGCCAGCACCACTCCAAAGCAAGGTCATAAGGTGAGCTCTTGAGGCGCGAAAAGGCACTTGCCTTAGTAACCTTCATCGCTTGGCAATGCACAAGACACTAAGTTAGAAGATCGCCTCTCCTGAGGCACTAAGGTGCCTCGCCTTTAAAACACTGGTTTGGTTTTATGAATTGTTAACCAATGGCTGATTAATTTTTGGTCACAGTAAAGTAAGTTGTATGATTGTTGCTCCATATTGTTTGTAACTGTTTGGTTAGATTGTGTGGGGGTAGGATGGGGGAAGATGAATATTGCTATTTATCACATCATTATTGTTGTTTGTTCTCTTAGCAAAACTTGGACAACGGCTACCAAGCACAACATGGAGATGGAAAAGTTTTTGGGAGAAAATGTGGCAAGTTTATGAATTGTCAATCCTAATCCTCTGTGTATTGGTGATATACTTTTTGGTTGTAGGCTTGTAGCAAGTAATAGCTTGAGAGAGTTCAACCATGGTAGCCTCAGTGTAAATGTGCCTTTCTGCTCGTGCAATATAAGTTTATTTAACCAGAAAACAAGCTTCTAAGTGTCCCTTAATAATGAAAGAATTTAGATGAAGAGGTGTGGTGATATGGCGACTACTACAAGGAATCATACTCATAAAACAAGACTGAGGAAGCAATCTCTGTGGCGATTAAAGCGGTTTAGAACAGAGGGAGGGCAGATAGAGAAAATTCTGCTGCTCAATTGCCTTTGGAATGATGTGGTGCATCCATTAATATCATTCATAATTGAGCGAGAGAGGGGGCTCTATTTTAATAAAGTCAACTAAAATTCCTAACTGATAACTTACCTTTTTATGGATTAAAAAAGTCTGCAATAAACTTTCAACGAAAAGATAAAATTCCAATACTGAAGAGGTCTCCACCTGCTTTTTGTGTTTTTTCTTCATCTCTTACCCTGTGATTTTCCAAATGAAATTCGTCCTCCGTCACTTTGGTTGGCTTAGCACTGAGCAACAAATGCCTATCTCGCTAAGTTATATCGAAGCTATTCCGTAAAGCTGCAAACATATAATAAGTTATATATGAATAAATGCAAATACTTACTCCTTCAGGGGCCCGTTGCTGCAGTAGCCTTTGGTTTTACTTTTCTGTTGCTAAGCTATATGCAAATTTCATTTTAAAATGTATTTTTTTTGCATATTTTATGTTTATCATGCCAGTTGGTCATTTTACATACATATATCTACATTGTCTATCTGTTATTGATTATCGACTGTTGCACCAGTATGCAAGATGTGGTGTATTATTTTTTAATCTTCTGTACTTAGTATCAGCTCTGTTTGCTTTGTCAAGATCATCACTTTCTTACATTGATATTATTGCTAATCTATTTGCAGGTACCGTGTACATAATGATCGGAAAGTTGCTGTCTGCAGTGTGCATCCAACTGAACAAGCAACATTGCAGTGTCTAGGCTGTCTGAAAGCAAAAGTACCGATTGCCAAGAGCTATCATTGCTCACCTAGGTGTTTCTCTGATGCTTGGCAGCATCATCGCGTCCTACATGAAAGAGCACTTAGCGCTGTGAAAGAAAACGGAAACGAAGAAGAAGAGCTATATGGACGCTTTAATAGCACTGGATCTGGAATCATCAGTGCAGCGCTCTCTAGTTCAACATCAGGCGTAGGACAGAGCCCAAGCCTGAACAATGGTTCTACACCTTTATATCCTGTAACTGCTTCAGAAAGAAATGGAGGTGAAACCTGGTTTGAAGTTGGGCGTGCTAGAACATATACCCCAACTGCTGATGACATTGGCCATGTGCTGAAGTTTGAATGTGTACCTATAGAGGCAGAGACAAGAACCCCTGTTGGAGCTCCAAGTACCTTTCTGACCTCACGTGTTATTCCAGCTCCATCTCCAACTCCTCGTCGAATGATTCCTGTGAACGGACTTGATGTCTATGGACATTTGGAACCTGATGGTCGAACTGCATCAACTGGAACATTCACTGTGCTCTCCTACAATGTTCTTTCTGATGCATATGCGACAAGTGAATCATACAGCTATTGTCCATCTTGGGCCCTCTCTTGGACTTACCGTAGGCAGAACTTGTTGAGAGAAATTATTGGCTATCATGCTGATATCCTTTGTCTTCAAGAGGTATGCTGTTGGTTATGTTGTGCTCTTTTGCAATAAAAAAATTATCACTGCACTCAATTCTTTATTTTTGTATCTATATGCATAACTCACACAAGTACATGTAGAAACTTGACAGTAAATTTTAAATTTGTTTGATTGCAAAGCATGGATCTGCATTCTTCAATTTTGCATAAAATAAGAAGTCTGGAAAGCCTTTTATGTAATTGGGCCTTGATTCTTCTACTAATCCTTGGATACTTGAAGAAAGGATTATGAATTTCCCCCTTTCCTTTATTCACCCATCACCGTGTAAGATGTCTGTAACACTTTCCTAATTTCATTTCCCCCTTTTCTAGACTTTACTAGTGAAGTCCTTTCTTATAATGTATAAAACTTCTCTTCTGCTGGCCTTGTCCTTCAAACTCCTGATATCATCTACACCATCTTAAGTAAATAGTATTATGTTCCTATTATAGGAGAAAAACTAAACCTTGTGAAGTTTTAAATTGCCAAGGAATTAGAGTTACCGCATCATGTTTGCAGGTTCAAAGTGATCACTTTGACGAGTTTTTCGCGCCAGAACTTGATAAACATGGATATCAAGGACTTTACAAGAAGAAAACGTCTGAGGTTAGATTTCAGATGATTTCTTCCTTCTCAATGCTATTCAAGGACCTCCAGGCCTATATACATATTGAAATCAAATACTGTGTCCGTTCAGGTTTACAATGGAAATCCCAATGCAGTTGATGGTTGTGCAACATTTTTCCGCAGAGACAAATTTTCACATGTCAAAAAATATGAGGTATAAGGATATATTTGTGTCTAACATGCACTTTTATTTTGGCATCACATTTACTAATTGTTTCATTCCAGGTCGAGTTTAATAAAGCTGCACAATCTTTGACTGATGCGGTGATTGCAGCTAGTCAGAAGAAAGTTGCTCTGAGTAGATTGATTAAGGTCTCTGGTTAATTTTTTGGGTGATTTTGCATACCTGATGCTTTTCCTTTAGCTTGAAACCTAAATAATACAACCTTTTAGCTTGAAACCTAAATAAAATAATTTTTTTACTGAACAGGATAATATTGCGCTTATTGTGGTGCTTGAAGCTAAATTCAGTAACCATGGGACTGATACTCCTGGAAAGAGACAGCTTCTATGTGTGGTGAGTTCTCTATCCTTCCTCCTAGATGCTAATAATAGGTGCTAAAAAATTGTAACAATCAGAGCGATGATATTCTGGGGCATACATGACACAACTAAGTGTGCTAATAGTTCCATAAAATGAAAAAAAGGCAAAAGTGTGAAACATAGAGGCTTAGTTGTGCATAAGCTACTATAGGTTAAAAGTAACGATTGGCAGTTGTTAATTTGAATAGAGAAAAAGTTTTGCATAAGCTACTATAGGTTAAAATTAAAAGTAACAATTGGCAGTTGTTAAAATTTGGATAGAGGATAAGTTTTCTTCTTGTTGATCTTAAAATATTAGGAAAATTTTCTTGATGTTTATTCTCTATAAAGGCAGTGCATGACTAACCAAATTTATTCCGGCTTTTCTTCACTCACACATCTAGAAAGGAGAACTCTCTTTTACTTCGAGGAAACATTGTTGCTGTTTGTTATTGCTTGGCAACAAATGTCTATGTCCTAGCCATGTTAACCCCAAATTAAACCTGATGTATCAAAATTCATCGATTTAAGTCCTATCATTCAATTCTTCAAGGGACAGTGTGTTTAGGATTCTTGAGAGTGGTTTGGGTTGGTGGTAACATACACTCTTTTCATTTCATGTTTATCATGACTATTAGGACTTTATATGCTTTGCATCTCATACATGGCTAGAATCTCTCTTGGTATTCAAGACTAATAGCGATTTTTGTCATCATTGCAGGCAAACACTCATGTCAACGTTCATCAGGATCACAAGGATGTAAAGCTCTGGCAGGTTTGCATTTAGTATTTTGGTGTTACATATACTCGCATTGTTTTCATACCTCATCCTCTATAACCTATCATTACAGGTGCATACTCTTTTGAAAGGATTAGAAAAAATTGCCGTCAGTGCAGATATACCAATGTTGGTCTGTGGAGATTTTAATTCTGTTCCTGGAAGGTACATACGTTCTTTCTGATGATACCCGTTAATTACACACACAATTGCATGTTGTGGTGCATGTTCATGCCATCCAAACTACGTTTATATAAATTCGTGTATGTTCTGGAATGCAGTGCTCCTCACACGCTTCTTGCCATGGGTAAGGTTGACCAAATGCATCCAGACTTGGCCGTAGACCCCCTTAATATCTTACGCCCTGCTACAAAATTAAACCACCAGCTCCCACTGGTAATATATCTCTTCAATTGCTCAAACTTGAGGTTTATTATTATTTTCCTCAAAATTAGGACATACACATTCAACAGGTAAGTGCATATTCATCTTTTGCAAGAACTGGTGGAGTTGGTCTCGGGTTTGAGCAACAAAGAAGAAACTTGGACCCGGCAACAAATGAACCTTTATTCACAAACTGTACTAGGGATTTCATTGGGACCCTTGATTACATATTCTACACAGGTATGCTATTTCCTTAGTCCTTTCTTTAGATCTGTGCTTTGTTTGATATTCTTTTTGTGCTTTAGGTTTGTGATTATATATATTTACTTTTGATTCACATTTTGTGTTTCAGCGGATTCATTGACTGTGGAATCACTGTTGGAACTCTTGGATGAGGATAGCTTACGCAGAGATACAGCACTTCCTTCTCCAGAGTGGTCTTCTGATCATATAGCGCTTTTAGCAGAATTTCGATGCAAACCTAGGATCAGACGTTGAAAAGCAGGTGCTTGCACTTCTTCCTTTGTTAGTGGAAAGATATCTGCACTACTTCCTTTCTTATGCTGTGCATGGTTCATAATTTCTTAGGTTGCGTACTTGAATTCATTTTTAAAATTAAGTTAAGTTACTCTTTTTTCTGTACGGAACATTTGCTATTCATCTTTTTTGGCTTGAGATAACATGCTTATATGTCCTTTATGTAAAAATTAGGTTGTTTTTATGACATGGTGCCACTGTTTTAAAAAACCTCCGCCTAGTCCGCTTAGGCGTACGCCTAGACCTAAACGGTACCTAGGCCGCCTAACTAGCGCCTAGCGCCTAGGCAGTATTTAGGCTACCCACCTAGATTTTACGAGCGTTTAGGGGAGCATTGTCTGCTTACGTAGATTGCACCCTGAAGGCCTTGATTGTGATTTTATGTGTCGTAGCCTACACGTCCTCCAAACTCCATTAACCTTTAAATATGAATATCTCCACTACCTCCTCCGACCTTCAGCAAAACCTCATCGACCACCACTTAAATGAAGAAAGAAAAAAAAAACGCCCAGAAACCGCTTAGGCGTCCGCCTAGGTGACTAAGCGCTGGGCGCCAAGTCCGACGCCTAGAAGCGCCCAGCGTTTAATGTAACATTGCATGGTGCAAGTGAAAGTATCAATGCTATGCACTTAAAATTAAGATGAAGCGGGAGAACCTAATATTCTAGAAATCATATCTTTCACATGATCTGGGGAACTAGTGTTGTAACTTAAGAGAAAGTAGACATGGTTTACATTGGGAAATAGGCTGAGATGGGAAGAATCAAATATTGTAAACAATGTTTTAGAAAGCGCTGGGTGTTTCTAGGCGCCGGACCTAGTGCTTAGCGGCGAGGTGCCTAGGCGGAAGCTTAAGTGGCAAATAGACGTTTATAACATTGAGAGATAATGATCGTTTTTGAAGATTCAAATCATATCCTCATTGTTTTACTTGAGATAGACCTGGACATAGAGTTTTGATCTTCAGTACATTTTAACCTGGCCAATTCTCTTCAACCATTGCTATGCTTAACCGAGCCATATACCAATTTCTAATACCGTATAGTCCGCATAAGTAGCATGTTCTCCCCTAGGCGCTCCCACAACTTAGGCAGGCGGCCTAGGTACCGTTTAGGTCTAGGCGGCCTCACATACCGCTTTTTAAAACGATGATTGTAAAGATAATTTTGTTTGGAAATGGTCCTTCTATTTCTTATTTGAAATGCACTATTTGCTTGAGCAACCATAAATATCGACCTTGAGAGGCAGAAGGGAAAACATTTCATATTGAACGACAACTAGATTGTAAATTGTGAAACTATGTTCATGGATTGTCACACTTGTGAAATTAAAACTGGAACAATATATACAGACATGGATGGAGTGCAACGTCAGTAACTAAATTGTTAATTGAATGAATGATATTAATCTTCAAATTATAAATTCATATCTTGGGGGCATGGAAATTCTTGTGAAAAATTGTTGAGGTTTGTGTGATATGTGTGCTCTTTTGTCTGCCTTTGCTTTGACGGAGGGATCATCTGTTAACACTTTTGTCAGTTTGTTCTTTGGTTGATTGATCAATGTGGGAAGTGATGTTGCATGTCCTTAGTATCTGTGGTTTAAGCCATTTGCAGCAGAACTATATTGTCATTTGTTCCAAGTAAATGGGTCTCAGGTTCCTTTTCATCTTCGTGGGCAGTAGAACCCCATCATTTATTTTCTTTAACTAAATCCTTGATCATGAGTTGATGAACCTTACTCATGGTCATATTGCTTAAGCATTCAAAAGGTTTGTTCTAGTTGGTTATCCACATGAAAAGTAGTTGTCTTACCGTTGCTGATCATGAACTCCTTCGTAATCCTAGTATAGGCCATGGACTCAGTTGCTGCAACTGAAAGGGTTTTCCACCTCAAGATGGGCGTAACTGTTACTACCCAAGTTTGATGGTTTATTGTTAGACAATCAGCACATGCCTCTTACTCTTTAATTTTTCATTTTTCCTTTGCCATCATGAGACAAGGACTTCGTTCACAGCAGTTGTTTCTGCACTTGCTATTTGGTCCTTGGCATCTATCACAACTCGATGCGCGACCACTATATTTTGAAACAACAGTTTTTCGTGGATCTCACCAACTGGTGTAACCCAGCTTTAGTTTCATTTAATAAACAATTAATATTTTGTACCCAGTGGGTTTCTCAAGGAAGAATAGCCTGATTCTACACTGTTGGTGTTCTCTAAATCTTTTCCATAGTGAGGCAGCATGTTCTGAAGGCTCCATGGAAGTTCGATGAATTCTGAAATTATCCACCAGTGTTTTCAGAGCTATATGTTGATGCTGAACCATCCAAGCAAATCAAAGATGATTGGCTTGCTATAGAACCTAGCATGCTAGTTATTTAGTATTGGTTGTGCTCTTTAAATTCATGAGACGGGACACATTATCTGATCTTTCAAAACTGTAGAGTAGATGACATTCATCTTTGAGGCGTGTTATTAAGCTGTGAAGATCTTACTGAAGACAATAACCAGCACAGCCATGTTTTGGATATTATACGTTCAAGTATGTCTTGTTTCTTTTTTCTTTTTTTTTAAATGTATTAAAAACTGATTTAGTAGTCTATAATGCACACGTTATGTGGTAACATATTTTCAAACAAATTTTTTTTTCTTTTATGGATGTTATAGGCAACAATTGAAAGTATAACCAATTACAGTACATTCCCAAACATGATTATAGGCTTGAGTTTGTTTTGGATTTGAAGTGGCATCAGTCTTTACTTTAATTCCATCAACCAGAACACCTTTTTTCCTCTTTTTTTTTGGGGTAAATGACGGATATCTATGTTGTCAAGCCATTTTTGTTTGAATTTTGTTGGTAAATTAAGTTTTGTACACAATGATTTTCTACTCGGGTGGTGCTGACTTCTTATCACAAACAGCAACTTTGTATTAAGAAGAGTGCATAGTGAGGTTCTTTTAGAGATGCTAGACCTCTGTGATTTTGGCAAGAGTGGTTTTTGTTTCTGAAAGGTGCAGAGTACTTTTATTAGATGGCCCAACCATGAGGCGTCTTAAGATAATTACAGGTCAAACATTAAACACATATTTCATATTTAGTATGAATCACATTAGTGTTTTTAAGCCTGGCCTCAGGTTTTGCATGCTTTTTGTATTTTGGCTTGTTTTAAAATTGTGCTAATCAGTGTTCTATGTTAATGTGCCCATCCCCAATTGTTGAAGATTGCAGAAGAATTTAATTGAATTTACGTATATGTTTGGTCAATCCAGTTTTCATCTTGTCTTGTATATTTGTTTGTTCTGGTAATCCTATCTCTCTCTGTTTTTCAGTGTCAGATTTTGACTATTCAAGAAGTGAAGTGGCCATGATGACTCTTAGGTTTTTGCCAACCATTGCCTTATAAGGGCAATGATTGGCGATAGAAAAAGAAAATTAAACATTATTGTTAAAGAGGAGCTTACCACATATCATGTGTTATTGTTTGGTTCATGTAATGACTTGGAAGCTGACTGCTTAAAAAGTACTGTTGGGGAGTTCCTTATTAATAATCCCCATTATTATATGGCCAGTGAAAAAGAATAACCCGCAATCAAAAGATGGTTCTCTTTTTGACTTGTCACATGAAACGTAAAAGGTCTTGCTATTAGAACCCTATGTCATAATTACAAGTACTCATGTAAACCTTAAATCAGTTTGTACTGTTGAATAACATCTTTGACCGCTGCAACGTTGTTGTAACTTGCAAAAATGATATTTCCCATTAACCACACATTCTCTTCCTTGGAAGTTACTTTTTGTGCAGTATAATATTTTTTCTTGGGGGGTCATTCTGGCATGTCAAAAGCTGTTCTATATCCAACACCATTGTCGTCGAAATTTTTAGTCCGATTTTCTAGGAATGTCTATTTGATGTTGATATTGAAGTTACTTTAACCTGTTCACTTCGCCGACAAATAAATATTAGTGTATCAAATTTTTTTCGATCCTTATATTTTGGTAGCTCTGCCCTTATTCATCGTTAATGCTTTTCTGCAGGTCCTCCATTACTGTTGATGTTCTAGGACAAAATTCGGTTGATTCAAGAGAATTTTATCTGGCAAGTTTCAGAAAGTGACAGATCATGTACCTGTTCTCTTTCATTATGTTATCCGTTTTTGTATCATGTCAACGTCTTATAGAAGCATTATGGAAAAAAAATGTGTTTGAATGTTTCGTTTCATTTTTTGCTTCTTACTCGGCCCTTCAGTCATACTTGGAAAAAAAAAATCATCAGGAGATTTACAAAATCTGAGCTGTTTTATGCGATGCTGGTTTAAGGCCGGGAGATCAAAGACTTTCATCTTGTGGATATTTGGATAACCATCAATAATTATTTACAGTATATTTTGGGAAATAGTAGAGTTGGAAGGCTGGGAGATTATTGTAGTTATTGTTCCTATATAGACCAACGTGATTATTAAAATGATCATGTGAGGATAAACTTGCAATGTGGTCTTCAACTTCTTGTAAATTACTAGTTTATTAGAGCTATGGGGAGAATAATGCTGTCATATTTTGATTCCATGAATGTAGTAGTAGCATGCAGAGAAGGAGCATCTTATTTCCTTGCGAAACGCACTTAGTAATGTCTTCCATGAAGTTTTTGAATATAATTGGATGAGTTTGTTCCTGAATTTAAAGGGCTGTGTTCACTTGTCTGCGTGTAGGCATACATTTAAGCATGCTAAACATTTCTTTATTCTTATCATTTTGCTGTATCCATAACGAGGAAGCATCATTTTGCTGTATCCATAATGCGGAAGCAACACTGTATCTGAAATTATAAGCACCGCAGTTCCCTTGGAGCTGCATATGGGTATTGATTCATCGGTAGAATCAGTGTTTACCTTCGTTATAGGCTAAACCCGGAGCACCATGTTTTTCCAATTTCCCCCTGTTAAAAGCTTACGTTAAGTTGGACGATGGTTTGGTTGTTCTTCGCAGCAGAGTCTTCTGAAAAATTTAATTACAACGTATAATATGCGCGTACAACGAGCTTAGCTTAGATGGTATAATAATCAATTTCCTCTTTCCAGGAAAATTTTCACATTATGGCTTGTGCTTATGTTGTGCGTAAAAGCACCTATTAGAGTCGTGGAGGGTCACCCGGACCTCAACATGGCGAAATAGTTTTCTTCATTTGGATTGCTTCGACCTACTCCCTTTATTGAAGTCTTTATGCTATAAATTTATGGGTTATTGCGATGTTAGCCTCCCCCCATCTTCAATATTTTGTATTAGCCCCTCAAATCTTTGAAATTGATTTTAGGCCACCCCCCTAAAAAAAACTTCAATATTTCGATATTAGCCTCCCAAATCTTTGAAATTGATTTCAGTCCCTCCAAATCCTAAGTAGGTTGAAATAAGCTCCTCTTGTTAAACCTTGGTTACTTTTCTTTCGTTGTGTGTGTGTGTGTGTGTTTGGTGTGTGTGGGGGGGTGGGGGTAGCTTTTTCGGTGGTTTGTTAGTTATACCCCTCTAACACAAATTTAAACTCATTAACCACTTTAATTTATATCCGTTAATTTTCTTAAATCTGTTTAATAAAATTCTAAATCAAAACTACTTTCACTTCATCTTCTTCAACGTCTTCCCTAATGGGAATCTATTCTTTGTAAATTTGGAATAAGGTTTGAAGAGACACCTTGGGAAGAAGTTGGCAAGGTGAAGTGAAAAATGGTTTAAGGTTAGGGTTTTATTAAACAGATTTAGGGAGCTTAACGGGTACAACTTAAAATGGTCAATGAGTTTGAGTTTGTGTGAGATGGGTATAACTGGTAAATCACCTACAAAGTTATAGTAAAGAGAATATTCCCCGAGGGTTTATTTCAACATACTAATAGGAATTTGCGAGGCTGCAGAAGATTGGGGGGGGGGGGGTTAATATTCAATATTTGCAAGATTTGGGATCCCCCCCCTCCTGTATGGGTTTAGGGTGGGGGCTTGGGCTGGCTTCTGTTCTTTTCCAGACCCGGCAAGAATTTCATGAGCAAAATTATACTAGGCCTCTTTGGATTAAGTCCAGTTAGAATAGATCTTTGACTTGCAAAAATCCTTGAAGCTCACTGTAGATGGACGAGCTCAGTGTAGATGGACGAAGCTAACAAATGCGGCGGGTTAAAATCCTACGGCTTGTGGTATTCATGTCTTGTCTTTTAAATACCCGATATGTACACATTAATGTACGAGTGCCGGTGTTATACATATTGTAGTGCGCGGTGGAAATTTCGGCAACACCTCTGGTGCTCGACAAGAGAGTATATCTCAACTAAATCCCTGTTTCACAAAGAAAACAAAAACCGAAAGCAAAATATCTCAACAAAGTGAGATATAAGCTCTTCCTCTCATCAGTTCTAGGCCTGACCTATCGAGAGAACCTAAACTCTCTATTACAAATCACGGCACAAACAATCAAATTTAACGTGATTCGGCAAATTGCCTACGTCCACGGGGCAAGGAATGTGGGAGATCTACTAATAGAGAAAGAGAATACAAATGGGTTTACAATCACACAACTCTCACAAATTAAACCCTCAAATAACTCTCAAATCTCTCACAAAGAGGATGCAAAAAACCCTCTCAAAAGGACTGCTCTAACTCTAAAAGGACGGCTGTCTTTCTCCTTTTTTTCTTTCTGCGTTTTTCTCCCGCACGAAGCCACACGCCGCTTTTTCACCCTCTGCTCACGAACCCTCTTTTGCACTTGCACCAAATCCTAGGCTAAAAATAGGAACCATATTTATAGCGATGTGGCCCTGGCCGTGTGTGTGGATGTGGTCCCCCTGCGTTGAAAACGCGTCTGTGGTAGCCTTCCGCTCTCGTGCTCGTGATAGCCTTTCACGCGGTTTCGGTTTTGCTGCCAGCTCGTGCCTTTCACGTGTTGAAAACAAACGCTATCCAACAATTCTCCACCTCGGTGAAGTTTTCCCAAAACTGAGCCAACACCAACCAAAATAAATGCCTCACTTATTGCGTCTAGTACGAAGTAAAACGAAATCACAACAACGGACTCAGTCCACAACAAGTCGAGATCCAAATGAGAATGCGAACACTCTCCAAATGTTGGTATTAACTCACCAAATCGGCTGCATCATAAAGACTGCCTACGTATCCTCTTGCACAAGGAATCAAGCCTCATAATGTAGTTCACCAAATGGCCGTGAACAACCTCAATCCAATAGAAGAGTTCGCAACCCTTCTCCAATATCATCAACTCTGCGGCTGATAGCACCTCCAATGGCCTCAAATTATAACGAATCAAACACCTCCACCTGAGGTGAACCAATATCCATATCCAAGCTATATCTATCAGCTGCACTCGAATCAAAACCCAACTCATCATCTGTATTCAAAACCAATTGATCCCCAAACTGCGTCACCTCAGCTGGAATCCTAAACAATACAGAATGATCTGGAGTATGTGGAGTAATCTCCACCCATTGTGAAATAGCATCACTCTCCACCTGCTGTGATATCTCTATGATCTGTCCAAAACTCTCCACCTGCTGAGAGTCAATAGGCTCTCTCATCGAAGCCTCATCCAATGTGACATTACCAGACCAAATATCCAATTGAGTTTTACCTCCAATCACACGAAGCCTCATCCAATGTGACATTACCAGACCAAATATCCAATTGAGTTTTACCTCCAATCACAGCAGTTAACAACTCTTTAATAGGATAATCCAAATATATCGAAGCCTCAGTCCAGAAACTCTTCGGCAGACTATTGCTTGACAGCAAACACCGATCCTCCTCTAGCAAGGCACGATTCTTCAAATTTGCCACCCTATCTAGTTGCCCTAAGATTTTCTTTTCAACGAAGTGTCTTGAAATACCGTGAGCTCGGCTCCAAAATAGAAACAAGTCCATCTTGTACCTCCCACCAAAACCTGAATAAAGTACCTTCACATTTCTGCCAATCTCACACTTCTTAAATCTGTTGGAGACTACTAGGACTTTATCCAAAGGGGATTTGGTTGCAACCCAAACACGCTTAGAACAGCCACCAACAAAGGAAACCAAATATCTATTACCTCCCAATGATGCCTCATTGGAAGGCCCACAAACATCTACGTGAACCCCATCTGAAAGTCCCTCCGCACGGTGAATAGAGGTGCCAAACTTTACCTCGGTCTTTTTGCTCACATCAAAGTATTCACTGGATTTCAAATTGCAGGTCGATGCACCCATCTTCAAATCAAAACTAGAATGACCAAGCCCCAAATACCGTAGTCTAGTCAAATCAATAGAAGTCGCCAGCTCTCCACCTGTCACTGTATCTCCAATCAAATAGTACAGGTTATTCTTCCTGACACCCTTCATCATAATCAAAGAGTCTTCCACGATCTCGAGAACCATGTCCTCAACACGAACCTTCAGACCCTCTCCAACCAAAGAGTCTTCCACGATCTCGAGAACCATGTCCTCAACACGAACCTTCAGACCCTCTCCAACCAAAGCTCTAATTGAGATCCGAGAACCATGTCCTCAACACGAACCTTCAGACCCTCTCCAACCAAAGCTCTAATTGAGATCAAGTTCTTTCTCAAGGAAGGAACATATCTCACATCATATAACTCTCTAATAGTTCCGTCAAACATCTTGATGCGAATTCTTCCTATCCCAAGGATTTGGCATGAACGGTTGTC